CATTATCTACCATGTCGAGCGCAGGTCAACTACATATGTGTAGATGTTTAGGAAGCTGATTATGATTAAGATGATTATTAATAATTAATGACTTATGTTTCGAATATGTAGATTCAATCATTGAGTGTTTGATTTCTTTTTCCTCATCACTATTTATAGTTCATACTTTTTTCTGTTCCTATTTTTGATCACTTGTCTGGATCGTGGATTCCTCATCACACTTTCATCAGGTAAATAAACCGTGTACTGTAATTTCCTCCTGTGCAATTACAACTGAAGTGAATTTAGATTATATAAATATGTTATTTCCTCTGTTATAGTTATAGTGGTGCTTTCTTTCCGGGGGGGGGGCAGGGGGGGCAGCTGGAGGTGATGCTGCAGCAGACCCTCGGTCAGTCCGTGATGAAGATGATGATGAAGATGAAGATGAGGGACGTTATTCCTCCTCTGTGCGTGTGCCGATGATTCTCTGAGGAAGTAAAGCAACTGAAGAAAATGGACGACTCGCCCAGGGCACCGCTTCGTGGCTCTCCACCGGGACCAGCGTGTAAAAACCTGGATCTATACTCACAAGTCGTCGGCGGCGGTGATGGATTGAGAAGCTACGGAAAACAACAATGCTAACATGCTAGCCCGCCCCTTGCTGTTTTGTTTCTCTTCGGGGTTTTAACTCCACACGAGGAGGCTAACGACATCTACTTCACGACTTTATCTTTTTTTATTTTTTTTATTTTTATCGCTAACTAACCGTGGGTGAACGTAAACTAGTGATTCACCAAACCAGGTGACACGTCGCGTCCAGCTACGTTAGTTAGCTCACTTCAGAAGAAGCTATTCAAAATTCGGTTAAGCTAATTAACGTGGCGTTAGCTTAAAAACATCGATGGTATGTCCGGAGTACAGGTACAGGTTAGTTTACATGACTCATATGAGTAGTTTGGTGTATTAGACAGCAGGGACGTCGTATTACACGGTAATGATCCTGTGCTATTTGTAATTTTAAAGGGAAAACTAGGTTAAAGAAGTAACTTAGCATCAGCTTTACTGTTATCTCAGAATATGAGGCTAAGGGTCATCGTCTTTTAATCTCCAGCTCTGGGATGTGTTCGAGTAAACTGTCTCATCAGTAGATTCAGAACTCACAGGATGAGAGGATAAATAAAACACTATGGGTGATTTAAGTCGTTCCTCCGTTAGCTTCTCCTGACATGTTTCCATTCAAACGTGCTAAGCTAGCACAGGAAACTTGACACCTCTTCACATGCTCTGCTCACAGACTCGCAGGCAGCACAGTTTTTCCAGAGCAGCCTCATTAAGCGGAGCCCAGAAATGCGTCTGTCCTCGTTTCTGGCCCTGTTCAGGCCCGCGCTGCCCCTCATCCTGGGGCTGTCCCTGGGATGCAGCCTCAGTCTGCTGATGGTGTCCTGGACGCAGGGGGACGCCGACGACTCCTGCAGGGACGAGCTGGGCAACGGGAGGCTCTTCCTGGGCAGAGGGGACAGCCAGGGGGTCTCCAGGGATGAGGCTGGAGACGAGGACATCCAGCCCCGCATCGTGCCCTATCACAAGGACCCAAACAAGCCACACAAGAAAGTCCTCAGGTGAGTGTGGAGAGTCGTGTCTCCTTAAAGACACCTCAGGAATGTGCAAATTCTACAGCTGTGTGAAAAGTCTGTCATATGTCCTTAAATCTGTGGGACAAAAAGTCCAAGAAGTGTCAAAAAGAGTTTGAGTCTATCTGTGTTACTTGTTAATGAAACAAGATGACTGTTATGAGACGTATCCTGTCACCTTCATCATGTATGTGCTTATTTTCTCATTTTTGTTCTTTCTGTCTCTGTGTCTTTTCTCCACCTCTCCAGAACCCGATATATCCACACTGAACTGGGCATCAGGGAGCGGCTGCTGGTGGGCGTACTGACCTCTCGGGCCACGCTGAACACGCTGGCCGTGGCAGTGAACCGTACTGTCGCCCACCACTTCCACCGCACCTTTTTTTTCACTGGTTTGCGCAGCCCCAAGGTGCCTCATGGCATGACTGTGGTCACCCATGGTGACGACCGCCCGGTGTGGCTGATGTACGAGACGGTGCGTCACCTCCACCAGCACTACGGCTCGGACTACGACTGGTTCCTCTTAGCCCAGGATGACACTTACATGCAGGCAGATCGTCTGTCTGAGCTTGTGGGCCACCTCAGCGCAGGTCAGGACCTGTACATGGGCAGGGCGGAAGAGTTCATTGGTGGAGAGGAGAAAGCACGCTACTGCCACGGGGGTTACGGCTATCTGCTGTCTCGCAGTCTGCTGGCCCGCCTGCAGCCTCATCTTGACACATGCCGTAATGATATCCTCAGCGTGAGACCTGATGAGTGGCTGGGCCGCTGCATTATTGACTACCTGGGTCTCAGTTGTGTCGAGGTGCACCGGGTAAAGAAAACCTTCAAATTATAAGAAAGAACAGTGGTATTAGTAGTTTTAATTTTCTTCTGACACTGAATATCCATTGTTTACACTTCTTGTTCTCCCTCAATGTTTGTGTGGCTCACAGGAGATGACCTATCGCTACTTTGAACTGGGGAAAAATGCCGATCCAGAGCGAGAAGACAGCACTCAGTTTAAAAATGCCTTCACAGTGCATCCTGTATCAGAACCAAATCTCATGTACCGCTTGCACAAACGCTTCAGCCAGATCGAGCTGGAATGGACGTACCTACAGATCGAGCAGCTCCAGGTTTGTAATACACAGCTGTGCCTTTTCACTGAACTCTTATCTGATGGGACAAAATCCAGTGAGCTCCTACATGGATGAGTTCTGTGTCACAGTTCACTGTTTGTTCTCTTCACCAAACCCAATGTGAATCAGTGCTGAAACTCCTGACTGGAGACAAAGAATACAGTGTTTTGCTGGAACATGAAATTTTAAATTTCTATGCATTTTATTGTGACTATGATCTGCTGAAGAAGATTTATTGTGTAAATATAGTAGCTGCCGATGATAATAATGGTAATTAGAGATGTTTTGACTTGATTTTAAATATACGTTACACACAGTGAAAGTCATGTTTACACTGTGTAGATGACATGTTTTTATGTAACGGATCCTTTTCAGCTTTGCTATGACAGATTTCTGTGTTCTCTTCAGATGCAGATCAACAACCTGAGTGACCTGACGCCAGAAGGAAAAGCTGGAGTCACGTGGCCAATAGGAATCAACCATCCCTTCAAACCAAGAACCCGTTTTGAGGTGATAAACTGGGAGTACTTCACAGAGGAGCACATTTACTCGTGCGTCGACAGCTCTCCAAAGTGTGAGATGAGAGGGGCGGACCGTGCAGATGTTAGTGCAGTTCTGGAGATCGCAGTGGAGCGTCTGAATGAACGCTACCAGCCACAGCTACGCTTCCGCAAGCGCCGTCTTCTTAACGGGTACAGACGCTTTGATCCCACGCGCGGCATGGAGTACATGCTGGACCTGGCTCTGGAGGCCTACACCCAGAAAGGCCACAGTCAAGTCATTGTAAAACGGGTCAACCTGCTGAGACCCCTCAGTGCAGTTGAGATAATCCCCATGCCTTATGTGACGGAGGCGACACGGGTGCAGGTCATCCTACCCGTCACTGCCCAGGATCAGGATTATGTCAGCAACTTCCTCGACATGTATGTGATGAACACTCTTGACACCCACGATAATGTTTTGCTCACGTTCTTGTTCATATATGATCCGTTTGACGCACAGCGAGTCAGCCAGACGGACGTGTTCGCTGGCATCAAAGCCATGATCGGGGAGGTGGAGAAACGCTACGGCGACGTGAAGATTCCTTGGATAAGCGTGAAGACGGAGGTGCCCTCACAGGTTAAGTTGATGGACATCATCTCTAAGAAGCATCCGGTGGACACGCTGTTCTTCCTGTCCAGCGTGTGGACAGAAGTCAATGCGGACTTCCTGAATCGCTGCAGAATGAACGCCATCAGCAACTGGCAGGTCTTCTTCCCCATCCACTTCCAGGAGTACAGCCCCGCCGTCGTCTACCGCGACCAGCAACCCTCCGCTCCCTCCTCTTCTTTTGCTTCCGAGTCGCTGAGGGACGGCCACTTTGACCGCCATGTCTTTGAAGAGGCCTGCTTTTACAATGCGGATTACATGACCGCACGGACCAAGATGGCTGCCGACATCTTAGACAACGAGGAGCTGCTGGAAAGCATGGACGTGTACGACATATTTGTTCGCTATTCAGGCTTACACGTGTTTAGAGCGGTGGAGCCGGCGCTCATCCAGAAATACGTACGACGAGCGTGCAACCCGCGGTTCAGTGAGGACATCTACCACCGCTGTGTGCTCAGCAACCTGGAGGGTCTGGGGTCGCGCTCGCATCTCGCCATGGCTCTGTTTGAACAAGAGCAGGCCAACAGCACCTAGATCTCACCGGGATCTCTGGGATGTTGTGGTACTTAGAGAGCGTTGAAACTCTCACACACACACACACACTCTCTGCCTTGAGGAAAGTCACACAGAATAATGTGAATTTTAACATGGTACTTTTATGATCCATACACTGAAATTCTCACACATTAAAATGGAAACGTCTCGTGCATAGACTCTGACAGAGCGAGCGTGTGCTGACGCTAAACTCTACAACCTACAAGTCTGACTTATGAGTCCGATATCGAGGAATCTGTCACGTCTAAAGGAAATATGACTCATCAAAGTGTCTCCTCACAACTCGCGCCCTGATCGAGGACTACAGAGACAGTACAGTCAATAATATCATTGCTGTGTATAACTGGAGCTGATGAACAATATTTAAACTCCACTGAATATATGAAAAATAAGTTAATAAAAAAAAAGACTTCATTTCTTTATAATTATTTGAGAAAAACACACTTGAGCCACAAATCTTCTTTTGTGAAGATGTTGAAAAATAATACTGGACAAGCTGATGCTGCCTTTATTTTAAGATATGTTCTTTTTTTAAGAGGTATTATTAAAGAGTGCTATTGCCACTGAGTTGTTTCTTCATTCCTACCAGTTTTTACCAATATAATTTGTTTCAGTCTCATTAGACACAAAGGTCACTGTTGTAAGATGTGTTTTGACAAAAAAAATCCTGTGGTCACTCATGATTCAATGATTATATTCAGAATTGTGTCTTCTCATAGAATCCATTCTTCCCAGTTTGCATGAAAGCTTGAGTGCGGCGCCCGGGGGCAGTGAACAGTTTGTTCCAAAGCAGCCTGCCCCACCTCGTCCCTCACAGTCAGGCATTAATTCTCCACCCCTCCCCGGGCCTCCCTGGGTTTTTTTGGAGAGTATTTTGTACAACATGCGTCTTTGGGGAGAAAGACGTGAACCCAGTGCCCAGACGGAGGGTCGAGTCTACCTTGCCAAGCTCTGCTGTGGAGTGCGGTGGTTAACCTCCGCAGCGAGATGGTTGAACAAGCTGAATGGCTCACTTCACACATCCCTCCCCTCCGATCGGTCCCCTAACCTCCCCCACCCAGCAGAATCCTCCAAGTGAGGGTTGTGGGCTCAGGAGAATGGGGGAGCAGCCGAGTGAATGGGGCTCTTTCTGAGGCAGCAGCTCGACTGCAGTCAGCGTTTATGCTGCACGGCTGCAGTTCACAGTGAAAAGGCCTCCACCTGCTTCCTTGCGGTGAGGTGGGCGAACAATAAAACGCCTGTTTGCCTCCTCTTATGAAAATGCCGCGCTCATGCAGAAAGTTTAACCCACCAATGGGCTTGAATGCAACACCAGCACTTCACTTGAGAGCTCTTTCAAATAAGGGTTGTGTAGCAGTGAGGTCAATTATTTGTATAATTGAACTGTAACATTTTAGATAATATCATATGCATTCAACTGAAAGAAAGTTTTTCAACCTCTAACTCTGAGGCAATGACTTTACATCTCAGTGACATTGAAGGACTATTTCCTCAGTCAGAGGATATGGATGAATTTTAATTTCTCCCAAATCTATGACTGTATGCACTGAGCTTTAAAATGTTAATGTGTACATTTTTGCAGCAGAGCACAACACAGTGAAATCACTTCTTGTTCCTATGGAGGTGATGAGAACAAAAAAAAGACACCTTCAGATATCATGGCATTTACAAACTTTGGCAAGCGCTTCTTTATTTACATCCAGGCTGTCTCACAATGTCACAGCTGTTTTCCCTTTTTTTCTCCCCTCCTCGTCTTTTCGTTGAATGTAAATCACCAAACAAGTTCTGCTCTTTACCGATATACAGTGTTACGCGTGTATACCCTAATCATCCTGTCGGTGACCCTCAGTGTAAACAGAGAGAGAGAACACATGCAGGGGGCCATGACGAACATGTCGACAGGTCACCAGGCTTCAGTAACAGGAGACACAGTAGTCATAATAAGTCAGATAATATCCTGGTACTGTGCTGCTCACTGCTGAGGAGCTGCAGCGTCGAGTTTCCTCCACAGGAAGGTGCTAGTGATTCAGTGACGACAAAGTGAATGCCCTGGCCATACAAAGAAAAGTCACTCTGGGTTCGACACAGGACTAAAATACTACCACCGACTACTGTTCCTCCTCTAATGAGTGCAGTTAATATAACTTAGACCTAGTAACAAAAACACAGACGAGAAAGTAAAATCACACCTACAGTTAGTTGCTGGTAGGGCACATCATTTTTGGCAAAAAGGTTCCCAGAAGGCATTTCAACGAGTCTTCACACAGACTGCTATGCCAGCTTCCTTTTCATATATTTACACAAACCGTCTCATTAGCTGTATTACTGAATGTCCACGGAGCATGCATAGGTCTTTGTGAAATCGTCCAATCACGTTTAGTGTTTGCTGGGATTAAAACAAAAAAAGCAGTTACAGCACAGTGCAAAGAAACCCAGACAAGGTTCCAGCTAGAAACTGACTGCTGAGAAGAAATCCTCCATCTGACATTACAACGTATACGTACAGGTCGTGTGTCGTGTTAGAAAAGAAGTGTAACGTGAGGTGGTGTGGATTATATCGTGTGTTACAGCTAATGGATGGGGTTGAGAGCGAGGGAGGTCTCCCTCAGCTCCCACGATAAACAAGATGGACCTAAAATAAACCACCCCGACCCGTGAGAGGACACAGAGGAACGCTAACATTCCTGCTCTACTAATTCAAAACTTCTGGAGCTCCCATCCTGCACCATGTTACTCACCCCACCCGCCCACCACATCCATCCCAAAATCCCCCAAAACAAACCAAACACTCACAAATAATCTGTTGTGTACTGTACAGTCGGCCCTCTGAAGGGAAAACAACATATTTACATTCACATCTCTAGAAAAGAAAATCTTCATGTAACAATAAAAAAGTGTAGAAATGGACAAAGCTTCAAACCAGGGCTTTTTAAGTGTTTATTGCAATTATTGTTCCCTCCGCCAAGGAAGTGATCTCTGCAGAACAAAACTATTGAATGGATTTCCATGAAACTTGGTGGAAGGATGGGACCTGAGCCACGAGGAAAGCCATTCAATGTCAGTACAAATCTGGACAAAGAGAACATCATCAATTTCCCAGGGAATAACTCATTAATACAAAATAATCGTGCGAAATTTGGTGCAGCTTGATTTAATTCAAAGGCTCTTTTGGGCCTTGGCGGAGGTTTGAGCTCTACTGAGTTTGTTTAAAAGAACTTTTGGGAGTAAATTCTTTAAGCCAGCCAAAACGTTTTTCTTTCTCTTTGCAATTTCAACTAAAAACCAGATCTGGATTTTTGCCCATTTCCGTTTCAGTGATCGCGTTCTCTTCCTCTCGTTGCAACCTTTGGTAAAACCTTCAAACCATTAACTGGCAAAAATACGACACAAGGAAGAGGCAGTGAGTCTCAACACGTACAGGAGACATTTTGTTTTGACTAAGGGAAGAAAAGATAGTGTGACAATGATCAATACTTGTTCTGTCCTTCATTAAAACACAGACATGGATCTGCTCATGCGATAATACTAACAGTTAACTCATCTAATACTGTCGCTGTAAAAAGAGAAATCCGTTTACTGGCGAATAAGACTTGAGTGAGACACGTTGGTTGTCGTCAAACTGATTCATTCAAACCTGAAAATGAAAATCTCAGGTTTATTGATATCATTGATTCCCCGCAACTGCCCAATGTGTCCCACTGCCACCTCCACTTTGCTGGTGTAATTACTCAGTGTTTCAAAAACACTCTCCTCATGAGAACAAATGAAAACACACACGGGCACACCAACAATCAAACCTCCCCGGAAAAATGATTAAGAAAATAAAAATGTGACACCAGGTCCGAGTATCCAGAGCAGTCAGGTGGGTTTGACTTGACACGGAGAGACGGGGGGGGGGGTTTGCTAGTATTTACAAAGCGGTGAGTGATGATGAGCGTCGTTTATCCGGCAGTGAGGCGGAGGATGTCGACCTCTGACGGCTTAAAACATGCGATAAGCAACGGTGTCCTCACGGCCCGGCACAAAAGAATAACACACAAACACAGTGAGCGAGCACGAGCGTCGGAGGTCTGTCTTCCATACATGCACATCGCTGCCGGCTTGTGGAAACCTCCTTACTCGAATCTTTTCAAAACCATAGAAATTCAATCGCCATCACAAAGACAAAGGCTGCGTTTGTTTGAAGTTACTGACACTTTGAGAGGTATTAGGTTTCAGCAGACTACAGCGATGGCCTCACACACTCACACACACACACACACACACACGCACACGCACACACACACACACACACACACACACACACACACACACACGGCTCTGATGCAGAGGTGCAGGAGGGCCTTGGTTTAGGTGTTGCGGACAGCTAAGGCCTGTTCCAGCTCCTGCCTCCTCTGCTGGATCTGTCAGGGAGAAAGAAAAACATGGATGTTTGAACTGTTCTCTGCAACTAGAGGAAGAATTAGAGGAGTTCAAAGACGCAGAGGAGCCTGTTTCCTCACCTTGCAGTAGAAATAGCGGCTGACGGCCTCCTGAGACCAAGGCTCGTGGTAAAACGCAGCCCTCCTCTCCTCCTCAGGGTTCCCCACCACGTCTGTCATTAACTACAAGTACAAGGTACACGCATTCATTTTAAGACTAACATGGAGTATATTGACTTGCAGGCGGATGCAGTTAACAGTGGGATCATCACTTTTAATCAATCTAAAACCTTCTATTTTCCGATTCCCCACCAAAGCATCTAGAATAGATTTCATATAATTGCAGAGAATGTTGTTTTTTCTGTGGGAATTAAGGTTTAGAACGAGTGACAGCGTGTGTCTCTGTGTATAAATAGAAATAGCAGCTTTCGAACCTTTAAGTCCCTGCTCTGAGATTTGAGCCAGTCCTGGATGTAGCCCTTGGGATCTCTGGAGAAACTGAGCATGAAGTCCCTCTGGATCTTCAGCTGGTTGATGGACTCGATGGTCTCGTGAATCTGAAACATGAAGAAATTAAAAAGTGAGTCTCTCAGAAACAGGCCAGGTTGTATTTATAGAGTGTATCTCTAAACCACCTGCACCACAACAACCTGCCGTCATCGAAAGTGTCTGTGCCCAGGAGGCAGCTAAATTATCACCTCACCACGATTTACAGCATCCAAGTCGATCCAAAGGTGTGTGTGTGTGTGTGTGAGTGTGTTTTTTGTGACGCAGCTGATCTCACCTTGTTGTCGAGTGAGGCGATTTCCTGCTGGTTGGCGGTGGAGAGGAGGAAGCTGCTCATCTGGCTCTTCAGGGGGTCCTCCACTTCCACATCAATGTCGTAGCATGCCGTCTTCTTCTGGTCATTGGGGTCCACGCTGGCAGGGGTGGAAAAAGAAAAAGAGATTAATGGGTCAAACCTTAAACGTGAAGACATTCATCGATGCAGAAGTGTCAGTACGGAGCCTGAAACGAAAACCTTTAATAATTCCTAATTAGATGAGGTTCACACACAGTAAAACAGCAGGGATTTACCTGATAACGTGGTTGATGACGATGGGGTCCGGGGGCAGAAGGAGGTTGGTGAGACGCTGAGGGATCTCTGAGAACTTCAGCCGCGGGCAGTCAAAAATCTGGAGGAAAATGTGGAAGTAAAAACGGAGAAGTGAGAAAACAGCCTAAAAAGAACTTACACCCACAGTGGTCAAATATTTCTCAAATTGTTCATGTCGTCAAAGTTAAATCATATTTCTAGCCACACTTATTCTATATTTATGTGATTATAATGTGATTTGTAGCACAGCCACAGTCCTGTACCTGTTGGAAGTACTTGTCACAGTTGATGTACTCCTTGTCATGGGAGTCCTGCAGCTTGTTGGTCTTGACGTACTGCCACAGAGCCTGGATGATGCAGGAGCGAGTCTGAGTGTGAATGCCGAGCAGGCGAGCCAGGCGAGGGTCCAGCTTGAACTGCGGTGGCTGTGGAAACGGTAAAAAAAAAAAAAAGCATCACAACACATTTTGTTTTTGCAACTGCCCACCTCACATCTGAAACCCTCATCATATTTTTCTTGGAAACAGATATCGGGCCTTGGATTCTGCAAAGCACTGTGGGGTTTCTGTCGAGCGGTGGTTTTCAGTTCTGCATGGATAAGTCCCACAGTTGTGACAGAGGAGCGTCTATTCCTGGACAGGGTTGTGTCGCCCTCACCTGGTAGTCAAGCATCAGCAGCAGAGTGCAGCGCACGCTCACGTCTCCGGGCCTCTTCACCTGGAAGCCATCCGTCTCCTGGGTGGTGGGTGTGCGGTGCCACTGGAAGAGACACACATGCACATGCACAAACACAAAACACCACATGTTTACTACACACCTCACTCAGTCGGCTGAATGTTTATTTCACTTGTTTCACACTTCAATTCCTATTTGTTTCACACTTTATTCATCAGAACTGTTTATCAGAACAGTTTTTTTCTTCACCTCGAGCTCGTGCTGACATTTATATCTCAAAAAATACAGGATGGATTGTTTGTGTCAGACTTCCATACGTGCACTGTAATGGCTTTGATGATCCTCTAGCACCACCATCAGGCCAGAGAGTGTTTAGTGCTGCACTAAGATGATGATCATCGTAAACATCAGCCAGTTAATATTGTTGATTCTTAGCCTGCTGATGTTAGAATTAAGCTCAACGCTCCACTGGGCCTCACAGAGCAGCTCACATGGTTGTAAAATATTAATCCTGTAAAGGGTTGAGCAATGTCGATAACTAAGGATGTTCTTTCACATTTATTTTGATTATTTCTCAATATTTATGATGATGCTGTCAGGAACTGCAGCTTCAACAAATGTGCAAATGAAAAGAAAGACTTCTTTTCAATGCACCTGTATTGAGCTTTCATCTGCCTCTGTGGTTTGCTGCGAGGAAGGTTTCTGCGTAACTAGCTGGATAACATGTGCTGAGAAATCCACAATCGCTAAAGGTTAACCATGTGGCCGTGCAGCTGAATGTTATCTCATTCAGGATCAACACCATCAGCAGAGACTTGATTTAACTGCTGAACCAAAGAGCAGCCTGGCAGAATACAAGAATCTGTCTTTGTGTTTGGTATCTTCCAGGACCTCCTCTCTATCTGTCTTATTTACATCTCCATTTTATCTTAACTGCTCAGAAATGCGAAAAGCGGAGCACTTTAAGCAGCACATTGAGCGCGGTGGGCTGCGGCAGCTCGGCACACAATACAGAGTAATGTTTTCCTTCGACTCTTCAGCTGACTCATAACAGATTAAGTGCTGATTGTACCTCAAGGCAGAGAAAAAATTCTTTTGATGGAAAATCATTCAGAGTGAAGCACCTGAGTGCCTTACTCAAATATGCTCTTAAAAAGAGGAACCTTGAGAAGTCATAATTTCCTCTGCAACTGCAAAAGTGATTTTTTTATTTTTTAAGTCAACTCATTTTGTGATGATATAAAGTCAAGGGCGGCTTATGGTTGTTTTTAATAAGGACACACTTGTTTTCTACAGCTCTCAAACCTGCATGTTAAAACAACCTTGCAACGCTGATATAAAAAACTCTCCTCTCTGTTGTTACAGAAAAATCAATTTATAAAGAAAAATTTAAAAAACAGAGGGCAGTTCAGTCTCTCGTTCTGTTTTATTGTTAATTTACTTCGTCCAATGGGGAGACAAAAGGAAGCGTGTTGGGTTTGGCTGATTGTGGCGTTAACCAGACGTTACAAAATAATCATTGGAGGAGAGAAGTCTCCTCCGGCATAATGAGGATGTTGCCAAAGACCCTGAGTGCACGGGAGTATTTTAATTTTCATATCTCTGCTGCACGACAATTCTAAGGAGAACATATTCATTTTTTATTTAAAGAAGTGTTTGAGGCTCGAGACGAAAGAAAGAACGATGAGATGACGAGACATTTTTAAACGTCAATTAGATTTTGCTGATGCTTTTTCCTGAAGTATGAAACAACATTTTTTACACTGACATATTTGTAATTCTCTCAGCAACGGATTTGAATCATCAGTTTTCCTCTGTGGAGACGGAGCGGTTTCGATTAAAGGGGCAGATCCAGGATTTTTCCCACTTTCTTTAACATTGTGCTCTCTGAGAGCCTTTCTATTTTTAAGTGTTCTAGCCTCATAGTGTCGTGTCAGTTCAGCTGTGTTGGAGCAAAACAATTAGTTTAGTAGCTGGAAGCAGGACATCAGGAAGAGCTCTGGTGGCCACATAGCATCTATGGTTTGATTCCAGCTGTGGACCTTTGCCGCATGTCGATCCCCTTATTTCCTGTCTCTTTGCTCTCCAAATGAAATTAAGCCTAAAAGGAATGGAAACATGGAAACCAAAGAGCCAAAGCATGTCGAGATACTAATCTGATGCCATTTTGTTTATCCACTATTAAAAATACCAGTTATCATGATAAGAGCTAAGATGTCTGCAGCTCTGTGGTTAGAGCAGGTTAAAGGTTGACGAGATGGTGGGTGTGTGGCTCCTAAAATGAGCGTCTTCCTCTGTGCACAGGCTGCAGCACCCATGTTGGAACTGACCTCGACTAAGTGGTTGTCAGGACCGTACAGGTCTTTGTCCAGCTCGATCACCAGGCTCTTAAAAAACGAAGAGAACTTCTTCTTCTGTTTCCCCGGCTGCAGAACAGAGAGACAGACGTGGTCAGTAAATGTCTAAAATGAGATATACACAGACATCTGTATAACCACATATGTAAAACACTTGTCATCGGGTATTTGCTTCTGGCAACATTACTAATCAAAAAGCCACGAGAGGCAGAGCGAGATTAGACGGAAAGTGAGACAGTAGGCATTCTCAGGGTCCACTTCCTCCGAGCTCGACCAGAAATATTTGTGGTTTGTGAAACTTAAATGCTTCCTACCGCTGTGAAATGACGGCCTTGCCCCAGACTGCTGAGAGCATCAGAGGCGGCTTTTTGAAGCAACGCTTACAGCGCAAATGTATGATCACTGGGTATTTTTCATGCTGCATCCTCACTCCCTACAAAACCACTTTTCACATCATCATTTTAAATCCAGAGCCAGGAAAGAATTTTCAGTCCAAAGTTGTTTGAGCCCGTCATGACTGCAGGACAAAAACGAGCCAGAACAGCTCCAGGATCAAAGTACGGCAAAGTTTTATTACTAAATAGAAAGATTATGATGTCATTTTAATAATAATTTCTGTTAAATGGAATTAGTCTGCCAGATATGACACGCTATTAAACCCTGCAGCAGAAGCTATATTTTTATGTCATGTTCAAAACAGGCTGTGAAACACTCCGTGTTTTAAATGCAGGTGTGAAATAACAAATGAAATGTGTAAATGAAACTCACATCGTCAAGCAACTTCCCTTCTACTCGCAGCTCCCATGACGCAATGCTGCCGTCAGAGTCATCGGCGTCGGGTCTGGCGGGGTTGAAGGTGTTGGATATGTAAAGCCTCAGTTTACGCTTTTGCTGCTGACACAAGGGCATATTGAAAATCCATCGTTTAAAGGGGCATTTCACCAAATCTTGGGTTGAAATACACAGAAACCTGAAACACGTGGCAGTCGGTCCTCGTGGGACATGATTTTTTGTCCTAACCTTCATTGGTCTCTTCAGCGCCTCCTGGATGTCCACACGTTTGCGCATGATGGTCTGGTCCAGCTTGCGCTCGAAGGCCAGCAGGTCCATGTAGGCCTGAGACTCCGGCACCAGCTCACGGATCTGCTCAGAGAGAGAGAGAGAGGACACGCTGACATTAAAATCTATAAACGGACAACACAGTGGATTAAGAAGTCAGATTTTCTTCAAATATATCATTGGAATATCTCTGAAGGGCTTAAGTGGATTAGCTGAGTCCTGCCTTAGTGCTGAGAGGGGGGGGGGGGGTCCACTCTCCTGTTTCAAGGACGTTTTTAGCTCCGTACATTAAGTTTCCTGTGACTTTACCTCTAAGTAGCTGTGAGGCCTTATTAAAAGTAGCACAGCCAATGATTAAATGTACAATATGTAACTTTGGCCACTAGGGGCATCTCGATATTGTTTGAGGACATCCTGAAGCAGCATGGGATCATGGGAAATGTTGTCTTCACCACAACTGGCAATGAAAAACCATGTGACGAGGCAAAGGCGCAAATAAACATTTTCACTGACTGAAAGCAATGAAAATGAAACGTCACATTGATTCAGTAATTTTTTAATATTTTAATGAAGAATCTTTACATTTCACATCTTTACGATTAAGAAAAGACCTTGATGGCTAAGAGATGAAGCTAATGTAGCAAACATTATCTCTGGTAACATTAGAACACTTTGTCAGCCTGACATACAGTACTGGGTGTTTTTTTAAATGTTTAGAATTTGAAATAAAGTTTAGAGGTGTTGAATAAAGTCTTAGCTGCATGACATCACCTTGTGCAAACGGAGCCAACGGCAGGTTAGCGTTAGTTAAACTTAAGAGACCATGGTGGCTTAGAGATTTATACCATATCATCATCAAATAAACCTCATGAGATTATTCAAAATGATTAAAACTCAGAGAAGAATAACCTTTGACAGATAATATTTTGTATGTGCAAAACTTTATTTCCAGAATCGTATTATTCTTGCACTTGCACAACGGTGAAATTAGAGGAAATGTCCCTGTGCTGCTGCTCAGTCCATCATTAATATGGACACACCATCCTGGAGACACAGTGGGATAAAAGGAGGTGTAGTGTGCCGATGAAAGTCCTCAGAGCTTCAACGGCTGCTGCTTCCCAAACTGTGCACACTCCTTCTCCTCCCTCCCTCCCTCCCTCCCTCCCTCTCTTTCCTTTTTCACGTTTCTTTCTAAATGGCTGCTTTCATTGTTGCCTCTCATTCCTCCTCTATCTGAATCTCACCGCCTCTCACTGTGGCTGAGGTGCCGAGCAGACGGAGGAGTGTGGCAGACATTCCCTGTCCCTGACTCATTATTGTGGAGTGGCGCCCCAACCATGCCTGTGCCGCAATCTCCCTGTCTGGGTTGTGTAAGGGGATAAGACCTGAGTCCAGACGCCCACTGTCTCCAGAGCTCCGTGGTTCCAGCCCTCGGTGAGCTCGCCAGGACGTGGTGAGGTGATGGCGTGGCTCGGGGCCACAAACTGAGGCCACTGGGTGAAAATCAAACCTCAGTCGGCACAGACTCACCTGTGGAAACGTGGTGATTCTGTCGCTTTTCGCGCTCGTGGTCCAATTTAAATCAATAAGCCACCTTACAAATAAGAGCATGAAACCCTGAAGACGAAACCCCAGAACCTGCTGAACACGCCCCTCATCCTCTCTCTTTTCAATTGGAAATAGCACATAATCATCTGGCCCTCTGCAGCTTCCAAGAGCCTCTGACATCAAAAACCTGGCCAGGACTCATCTGTTCTGTGCACAAAAGCTAATAACACACACACGTAACACACACACACAGCAACAAAGGTAAGAAATATGCAGCCTCACCCTTTGCGGAAGAATCTTGTCTGCCATTTTCCTTCTCTTAGCACTGGAGAGAGGGAGAGAAAGACAGAGGGAAAGAGGAAAAAGAGAGCATGTTACTATGGTGACTGATAGCGTAGCACCCAGGCCATCTGCTAAAATGCTGGGCCATATCCAGCACCCCAGCGTCCCAGCTGTGTGTGTGTGTGTGTGTGTGTGTGTGTGTGTGTGTGT